TAGCTTCTATGACCTTTTGCTATATCTTAAGTAGTAATAATTTTGTGTCACTACCTTTGCCTCTTTATTTGTATATATTTCTGTTTTTAATTTCAAATTTTATTTGCAAAAATGTTAAATTAAGTTGTTAATTACTAAATAGTTAAACTACTTTTTTCAAAGAACCGGACTGTATAATTGTTTATTTTAGTGTGCTTAATGTTTTAAGATGATTTCTGCATGGGGTACCAGAAGCTTATGCCTATAATCTTAGCTACTCAGGAGGCTGAGATCTGGTAGCTCAGCTGGAGCAGGAAAGTCCAAGAGACTCCATTTCCAAAATAACCATCAAAATATCAAAGTGGAGGGGCTGGGAAGGTGGCTCAGTGGTAGAGTGCTTGCCTTGCATACCTGAGGCCCTGGGTTCCATTCCTCAGCACCACATAAGCAAAAAGAAAAAAGCCGGGAGTGGCGCTGTGGCTCAAGTGGTAGAGCACTAGCCTTGAGCTGAAGAGCTGAGGGACAGCGCCCAGGCCCAGAATTCAGGCCCCACGACCAGACCCCCCCCAAAAAAAAGAAAGAAAGAAAGAAACCAAAGTGGAAACATGACTCAAGTGGTAGGGCAAGAAAGTGGGAAGCAAGAAAGCCAATTATGAGCACAAAGTTCTGAGTTCAAGCCCTAGTACTAGCCCCTTCCCCCAAAATGGTTAACTTTTGCTACCATTATAGTTGAGCGAACTTGAAGACATTTATATGGGGTCACATCCTTTCCTCCTCAACATTCTTTCAACATTGTTCCATTGTCTTACACCATCTAGAACTTCTGGAAGTTTTGAAGTGAGTCTCATCTTGTTCTTGGTGATTCTTGGTGGATTATCTGCTTCTTCTACTTGGGTATTTGTAGTGGGATGTTTCTTCCTTCTTGCTTTCTTTCTACCCTAAAGATTTGGGGATCTTGTAGGAGCTGTTCTGGTCTCAGTAGTGTGTTTACATAGTTTACTTGGAATATAGTTACTTCTGTTCTTTTGCCAAATTGAGTTGGTTTTCTGTTGTTTCAGAAAATGGCTTCTTCCATGCTATTGACTAGTCTGGTTCAATTCCATTGGTTTCTTCTTCTTAGGAGACTGTCCATGTGTTGTTTCAACATAGCTGTCTCACCTACCCTTTCTCTCCAGTGGCTGCGTCTCTCCCCCACCTCTGCTGTGTTCTGTAGGATGCTCTCACACCTGTCCACCACATCACAGACTCAGTTTTCTGGTATGTTAATTCACTTTCTGGGGTTTCTGAAATGGGAATTTTTTCATTTGTTCCCCTCCCTCTCTCCAGTCTTTGCTACTTCTAATTGCTTATAATACAGAGTTCATTTTACATTTAATTTCTACAAAAGTGCAGAAATAAGCATCAAATATTTTCTTCTATTTCTTGTAATTATTTCTCTTCTGATAGTGTACGTCCTTTTCTCCTGACATCCTTTGGGCAAAGACAACAGTATCTTTCATAGATTCCCAGGTAGATCTTTACTAAGAAATAATGACTTTTTAAATTGTAGAAACATACTTACTTCAAACCCAATAATTTTAGGTATAATAATTTTTGTGTCATAAGAAGTTAGCAGCTGGAAGGCCAAGCTAAACCTCACAAGGAAAAGGTAGGGCATTATGTAGAACAACTTAACTTCTTTTACTGATGTGTCCTAAGGACGGGACCACATGAGACTAAAATAAACGAAGGGGAGATATGTGGTCTGGTTAATTACTAATTAGATAAGCCAGCTGTGACCATAATTCCAATTAACTAGAAATTTTTAATATGCAAAATATATTGAAACATGAAGGTAGAACATTAACTAAATGAACCAGGTGATCAAAAGGTTTTATAACAATATAATATGATTTCATTTTGGTTTTACACACACACACACACACACACACTGAAATACAGGAATATTCTTGTTTAAAAAAAAAAAGTGAGGCTAGGTGCTGATGGGTCACACCTGTAATCCTAGCTACTCAGGAGGCTGAGATCTGAGGATTGAGGTTCAAAGCCAGCCCAGGCAGCAAAGTCCATGAGACTCTTATCTCCAATTAACGACCAGAAAACTGAAAGTGGCACTGTGGCTCAAGTGGTAGAGTGCTTCCTTGAGCTGAAGAGCTCCAAGGACAGGGTCCAGGCCCAGAGTTCAAGCCTCACAACTGGCTTCCCCCTACCCCCAAAATGTGAAAGTTATAAGTATAGCTTAGTGGTAGAGCACTTGCTTAGTATGTATAAGGTTCGGGGTTTGATCCTCAGCAGCACCTAAAACAAACAAAAATTCCAAGCTTAAAAAAAATGTTGGGCCTGGCACTGGTGGCTCATGCCTGTAATCCTAGCTACTCAGGAGGCTGAGATCTGAGGATCATGGTTTAAAGCCAGCACTGGCAGGAAAGCCTGTGTGACTCTTATCTCCAATAAATGACTCAGAAAACCAGAAACGGCATTGTGGCTCAAGTGGTAGAGCACTAGCCTTGAGCTGAAGAGCTGAGGGATAGTGCCCAGGCCCAGAGTTTAAGCCCTACAACCGACAAAAAAAATTAGATTTTCTAATGTACTACAGAGTGTGTGTATTGCCTGTGTAACAAAATATGTTTTAAATAATGATACAGATTTAGACTGATTGACCACAAAGATAATAAAGCTTAATCTTCTGCACCCCTTATGTCTATGACCCTTCCAAGGCTCTTGAAAGACCTCTAGTAATTTTCATCTCGTCTCCCTCTCCCTCTCCTTGTCCTTCCATCCACACCTTAATGTTCTCTTTGTTTTGACAAGGTCTCAATATGTAGCCTAGGCTAGCCTCAAACTTGAGATCCTCCTGCCTCTGCCTCCCAAGTGCTAGGATTACAGATGCGTTCTACCACCATGACTAGCAACTTAAAAGATGGGAAGGGGGGTGCTAGTACTGAAGCTTGAACTCAGGGCCTAAGCCTTGTACCTTAGCTTTTTCATTGAAGTCTGGTGCTCTACCACTTGATTTATATATCCACTTCCAGCTTTTTGCTAGTTAATTAGAGATGAGTCTTATATACTTTCCTGCCTGAGCTGGCTTTGAACTGTAATCCTCAGATCTCAGCCTCCTGAGTAGTTACAGCCATGAGCCACCAGTGCCCAGTTCAAATTAATATCGTTTCTGTACCATATGGTCATTTCTATGAAAATGTAAACCACAGGGCATAGTCTCTGACCCCATCCTTACAGAATGTTACCACAGGGAAATTCCCAACATGGGAAATAGGAAAAAAGGAATATCTGTTCATCCAGCCAGAGAACTAGCTATAAAGGTGCTTGGGGAGAAGTAACCTACATGAGCAGGGGAGAGGTCAGCAGATAGCAGAATCAAATGGCCGGGTTTGGTGGAGGGGTGTAGGGGGAGGGGTTCTAGCATTTCCCTAATTTCATGATGAAATACAGAAATAAATCTCCAGGCTTGTTCTCCCTCTGTCTATATATTATCAAATTTTAAAAAAGTTTATCCCATTTGTCCTCAACAGTGATACATTATTTAATAAATCCTGGAATTTTGTCCAAAAGAAGATACAATTTCTCCTTGAATGATACTCAGCCTTTCTTTGACCTTGATAGAGTCAAGGCAGGAGTTGTGCTGTTTTTTCCTCTAGCTCAGGGTGAAGGGCACTGTCATACTCTGAGAGGGGGGTCAGCTTCCTGATCCAGCAGAATCATTCATTGCTTATGGGGTGCTATTCCTCCCAAAGCCAGCCTAGGGGTAAGAAACTAATTACTTTTCCTGATCCTTCAACTTGACCTCCAAAGGAAATAAATCCTGTAGCAGTAACCAGTCAGCCAGAACAGAATACCAAGCCAGAGCCAGCAGACCTATAGCTTCTTTTAGAAGCAGAAAAGGCGACTGTCCATAAGCCAGCATGTGGGAGGCCAAGCCCGTGTCACCTGGGAAGCTCGAGGCTAGATTTCAGAAAGTTTCCTTTTCTATTATTGATAGATTGCATTAAGCCTAAGGAAGGATTGGGCTGAGGGCATAGCCCAGTAAAAAGTGTTTCAAATAGTAAGTACAAGGCCCTGGATTCAATTTTCACCACTGTAAACAACAACAAACCAAAACAACAACAAAACAAAAACAGATCTGTACACCAGTGCCTTGTACCTGTAATCCTTGCTACTCAAGAAACTGAGTTCTGGGGCTGGGAAAGTGGCTCAGTGGTAGAGCACTTGCCTTGCATGCATGAGGCCCTGGGTTTGATTCCTCAGCACCACATAAGCAAAAAGAAAAAAGCCGAAAGTGGCGCTGTGGCTCAAGTGGTAGAGTTCTAGCCTTGAGCTGAAGAGCTGAGGGACAGTGCCCAGGCCCAGAGTTCAGGCCCCATGACCGGACCCAAAAAAAAAAAAAGAGACTGAGTTCTGAGGATCCAGGTTGAAAGCTAGCCAGGGCAGACAAATCTGAAAGACCCTCATCTCCAATTAACCACCAAAAAAAACCAGAAGTGGAGGTGTACCAGTCATGACAAAAAAGCCCAGGAAAGCTTGAGGCCCATTATATACACACACACACACACACACACACACACACACACACACATATACACCTGCATGCACACAATTGTGTGTGTGAGAGAGAGAGAGAGGAAGAGAAAGAGAGGAAGGGAGGGAGGGAGGGAGGGAGGGAGAAGAGAGAGGAGTTGAAAGACAGGAAGGGTATTTTTTTCTTGGCAGCAGCAGAAGCTTCCTAATAGCCATTGTTTCCTGCTTGGCTCATTCCTTTGTCAGCAAGTTCTGGGTCCCAGAAAATGAGTTGGTAATGAGGGAACAAATAAGTCACAGCAGTGCTCTGCAGGAAGAGGGAGGCTCCTCTGTACTTCCCTTTCCTGCAGGCCTGCTATGGGTTTCATGATGTCATCCATTCATCATTGTGAGCTGATTGGCCACCCCAGGCGTTGGCCAGCTGCCCAAGGCCAGAAGGGAAGAGAGAGATCCCAGGACAACTGTGCAGCAGGCCCCTGAGATGTGCAGAAATGTTCACATCAGTTCCACCTAGAAAAACTTGGAGGAAATCGAAGACAGTAAAAGTCACAAGATCTTATTCAACCTTCTCTTCCCTCAATGCTTGGGGAGAATTCAGGGGCCTCTTCTTGCCTGTGGATGGGGAACCAAACCCTGGAGTAGGCCTGGGTGTGGAGGAGGGACTGCTCTGCCAGATGATTCATTCTCCTGAATTCAACCTATTTCCTCAGTCAGTGGTGTTTGAAAGCAACTTTGTCCAGGTACTCTTAGATGGCTCAGAGCAGCCCTCCTTGATTCTTCTGCAGTCCCAAACTATGACAATCATCTCCATACTTGGAGAAGAAGCTAGGGGCCTAGAATACACGGTTTCTTGTATGGACCAGGGCTGCTACATCAGAGGAGAGTGATCAGGACTTCTCTGCTATGAGGGGAGGGCTTGGTTATCTGAACCCTCAATTTGCTTCATTCTCAGCCTGTTACTTGAAGCCATATGAACAAGGAGGCAGTAAAAGGTGATGGCCTTTTGGGTCAGGAACTGAAAGGCTGGTTGGTAGAAGAACAGGAGCTGGGGACCCAGAGAGATGTCATCTCAGATTTCAGTTCTTTGCTTCTTGGGGGGAGCTGTCATTATGCACAAAACTTACATACTTGGAATCCATTTTCTCTATTTTATTTGCTTGAGTTATTATTTTGCTATGTTTCCCAGGCTGACCTCCAATTTTTTTGATCTGCCTACCTCTGCCTACTGAATACTGAACTATAGTGAACCATGCCCAGCTTTCCTTTTTTTTTTTTTAATTCAGGAGGTTTGATTGATCTGGGGATGAAATGAAAACACAGCAAGCAAAGGTGCCTGGTCTAACAGGCACTTAGACAGACAGAATAAATTGAGCTATGAAATTGGAAGAGACCTTCCCACCAGGTGGAAGTGCAAGAAATGATAAAGGCCCTCTGAGAAACATCATGAGGATGTTTTAAAAAGAAAAGTCAGGATACAATCCAGGGGAGGATCCATAGATACATGATAGATGATAAGGATGTCCTGGTGTATAATTCTTGTGAGCGGTTGGTAATAGTAGATGGTTAGAGTTTTTAAGCCAACATAGGTTAAAATACTTGTCAACAGCAATGATTTCTTCACCACTGCTACAAGACCTCTGGCAATGCCTGGAGACCTTTTTGGTTTGTCACAATTGGTGGGGGGGGGGAGGAAGGGGTTGCTATTCACATCTAAGGGATGTAGAAGCAGAGGAAGAGGATGTTGCTGAACAGTCTTCAGCACACAGTATACCTTTCCCCACAACAACAAATAACAATGCTGAGTTGAGAGATCCTAGGGCTAAAAGACACTGCTGCTTCTGTCCAATACTCAGGCTGTGTCTGGGGGCTGCATTGCAGGTCAAAAGGAGAAGAAACTGGATAAAAATCTACAAATCCTGCAACACCATGGCCCTTGGGGTGACCTCTTCTGTGCCCTGTCTACCTCTTCCCAACATCCTCCTCATGGCTAGTGTCAAATGGCATCATGGGCAAAACCAAACATGGAATAGACCACCTACAGCCCCAAAGATCAATCTGAAGAGGTGAGCAACTTTGATGGGAATGGAGGACAGGTGGGTTAAAGGGTAGAGACAAAGTGGAGGTTGCTTGCGGGAGCGGGGAGGAGCAGAAAAAGTGTTTAAAATATACCTGGGGAGCTTTTGTAAAATGCAGACACATGAAGACATTCTCTAAGATTCATTCAGAGTGTGTTCCTGGAATCTGCCATTCTTACCTGCTGGCCCTCCTTGGTTCCTGCTTGAGAGACACCGACTAGGAGTTAAGGTGCTAAAACTATGGGGTTTTGCAATTTCTTCTTGTTATATTTTACTTAAGTGGTGGTACAAATTGGGTTACCATCTAACATGTCAGATTATGAGGACAACATCTCCCCTTGGGTTTTGCAATTTCCTTCTAGACTGCACAAAGGGAGCTGGCTCATAAGTCCAACACATACATTCATTAACTTTAATGTCTCCATAACTCTACCTAAAGGAAATTTTAAAAGAACTGGCTTTGAATTTAGTTGGGCCTGTGGGTTTACCAAGGATGCAATGGAGAGGTTGGCCAATGAGGATTTTCCTGGACTGTAGGAACATCTAGAGACTCTAGAGATAGTCAGCAAATTGTTTATCGAGACTATAAATATCCAGGAGGGCTGTTTAGGTCTTCTGGCCTTGAGGAGACTCCCTTGTTTTAATGATGAAGAGTTGCATCAGAAGCAATGGGATTGTCAATATGTCTTCCCCGGCGCCTTTAGGATTCTCCCATTGAAGTTTGTGGAGCTGCGGGTCTGTGACCGCTTTCAACGCATCCTGCGGTTAAGGACAGTCACAGAGAAGATCTACTATTTAAAGCTCCACCCAGACCATCCTGATACTGTCTTCCGCTTCTGGATCCGACTGGTTCAAATTCTGCGTAAGGGCCTGTCTATTACCACCAAAGACCCTAGCATCCTTGTCACTCACTGCTTGGTACCCAAGAACTGCTGTAGCCCATCTAGAGACTCTAAGGTAACGTAGCACCATTGCCAGCTTTCAGCCATGACAGAGATGAAAAGAACACCTTAGACTAGCTCCTAGCGAGCAGCCTGGAGAGGCTTTATTGAATAACATTCATAACCATTAAATTCACTTTATGTATGTAGACAGTCAATGTATCGTTATGCAACCATCAACCATCACCACAGCCCAGTTTTAGGAAATATCTATCAGGGAGAAGACTTTCCTCTTGTCCTTTTGTAGTCATTCCTTATTTCTAGTCCTAGTCTTAGGCAACCACTGATCTGTTTTCCCTTCTGCAAAGTCAACTTACTTAGACATTTTATGTAAATTGAATCACATTCTTTCTGGCTCTCATCAATATTTTACAAGTTCGTCCATTTAATGGCATAAAACCAACTCTGGGGCAGAGTCATAAGCTGTCAGTAGTTCATTCCTTTTCGTTGCAGAGTAGTTGCCCATTGTATAGATATACCACATTTTGTTTACCCATTTACCAGCTGATGGACTCTTGGATTTGACAGTTTGGGGCTGTGGTGAATATTGGTGATGTGAGAATTTGTGTACAAGCTGTTGAGTAGATGTGCTTTTATTGGTTTTAGGCCATTTCTAGGTGGCTATATGGAAAGTGTATATTTAGCTTTTAAAGAAACAGGCAAACTATTCTCCAAAGTGGTCATTTTTGCATTGCCACTAACAATGCAAAATGCTTTTGGTTTCTCCATATCTTCACCACCACTGATACTATCTTTTTAAGTTATAGTCATTCTAGCAGATGTGTGTGTGGTTATCATTTGGACTTACCTAATGATTTATGATGTTAAGCAACTTTTCATAGGCTTTTCAGTTATTCATAAGTTGCTTTTGGTGAAGTGTCTAGTAAAATTGTTTGCTCATTTTAAAACTAGATTTCCCCCACCCCCGCTTCTTTTTCTGTGGTGGAATTGGGGCTTGAACTCAGCCCCTGGCACTGTCCCTGACCTTTTTACTCAAAACTGGAACTTTACCACTTGAGCTACAGCTCTACTTCTGGCTTTTTAATGGTTGAACTGGCAACAAGAGTCTCATAGATTTTCCTGCTGGGCTGGCTTGTGATCCACAGTTTTCAGCCTCCTTGAGTAGTTATGATTACAGGCATGTACAACCAGTACTGGACTTGACATTGGGTTTTGCTAAATGCTTTTCTGCAGCTCTGAAGAAGATCACATGATTATCCTTTATGTCATTGATATGGTATTTTACATTAATTGATTTGTTTGGTGTTAAATGAAACTTATGATCCTATAATTCTACTTATTCGTGACATACATTTTTTGGTATGTTACTAGATTCACTGTGCTACCATTTTGTTAAGGATTTTTGTGCTATGTTCATGAGAGATACTGGTATATAGCTTTCTTTTGATATCTGTATAAAACTCTATCTTTGGCATCCAGTTAATATGAGCCTCATGAGTCAGTCAGGAAGTATTCTTCCCCCTCTATTTTCTGAAAGAGTTGGTGAAGAATTTTTATTACTGCTTTAAATATTTGACAGATTTCAACAATGAAGCCACTTAGGGCTTTTTGCCCCAGGCTTTTGAGCATGAAGAATATAAACCTGGTTTGAGCCACAATATAAATTCCATGAGGGCAGAGATCATCTCTCCCCTCCACTGCTCTGTCCCTACTGCCTAGCACATAGTATTCAATAAACAGTGAATGAATGAATGAATATGGGCAGACTGTACAACTGGAGCACTTCTGAGATATCAAAGATAAGAGGAAATAAATTAATTTTATGTAGATGCAAAAAATGCAGTTTCATACAAGATTTTTCTCAAAGAAAATGATTTTTTTCAATTCCCATTCAAGTCTTATACAGGATTTCCTTACATTTTAGTATAAAACCAAGTAGTACAAACTATTAAATTTTACTTTCATTGGCTATTCAATAAACCATGCTAAGGTATATTAATGGGAATAGATGACTAAATTATGTTAACAAGTATCACCTGTAGGCACCAATAGGTACTTACATCAATACATACATGAGATATACAGTCTCAGAATTGTCTCTATGGGCAGCTGGAGTAGTGGGCCAACGTGTAAATTCCAGCACTGCAGAGTCTAGATCATGTTACTAGGAAAATGCAGAGAAACTGAGGCCTTAACCACTTGTTCCTTTATTTTTTGTATAGTTAGTTCGGAAGAAACCCAAAGCCTCCCAGCCCAGTGAGAGCCTCATGCAGCTGATGGCCAAGGGGGAGAGTGAGGCTCTCTCCCAGATCTTTGCTGACTTGCACCAGCTGAACCAGTACAGGTACATGAATTAAATCAAGTGGTGGAAGAGGTTGAAGGATCATGAGTTTGAGATCAGCCTAGGCTATATAGCAAGGCCCTTCCCATGCCCCCCCCCAAAATCAGGCCAGTCTGTGACACCTCTTCCTACAGGTCAGATAATCTGGGCTATGAGACTCTTGGTTGGGGAGCACAAGGAGGGATGAGACATCTTAACTCAGGGCAACACTCCGGGGCACTCTTGGCTTTACTCTCCTTTTCCATACAAATAGAAGGCTTGATTTCAGGAGAACTTTTATTTTTTGAAGGTTTGGTTTTTAATTTTTAATTTTAATTTTAATTTTTTGCCAGCATCCAGGCACTGTTCCTGAGCTAGCACTTGAGCTACAGCACCACTTCTGCCTTTTTCTGTTTATGAGGAATCAAACCCAGGGCTTCATGCATGCTAGGGAAAACATTCTACCACTAAGCCACATTCCCAGCCCTCAAAAGGAATTTTATAAAGAATTAAAAGAAGAATGAGCCAGGCACTGGTAACTCATGCCTATAATCCTAGCAACTCAGGAGGCTGAGATCGAAGGATTGTGGTTCAAAGCTAGCCTGGGCAGGAACGTCCATGAAACTCTTATCTCTAATAAACCAGCAGAAAACCAGAAGTGGTGCTATGGCTCAAGTGGTAGAGCACTAGCCTTGAGCTGAAAAGCTGAGGGACAGCGCCCAGGCCCAGAGTTCAAGCCCCACAACTGGGCCCAGTTGTGGGGCTTGAACTCTGGGCTTGGGTGCTATCCTTGAGCTTCTTTTGCTCAAGGCAAACACTCTACCACTTGAGCCCCAGCCCCACTTCTGTTTTTTTTTTTTTTTAGTAGTTTATTGGAGATAAGAGTCTCATGGAGATTCCTGCCTGGGCTGGCTTTGAACTGCAATTCTCAGATCTCAGCCTCCTGAATAGCTAGGATTACCATTGTGAGCCGCCACTGACACCTGGCTCAATTCCCCCCTTTTTACAAGAGTTAAAAATTAGGCCAGAGAGACTATGTAACTTGTCCAAGGCTAAGCAAATAGCTAAATAGCATCAAGGGCAGGAGAAAAATCTAGGCTTTAGTCCAGAGGGGTTTGGGTTATTTTCCCCCTAAGGGGGGGGGGCGTGTGCTGGTCCTCGGGCTTGAACTGAGGGTCTGGGTGCTGTTGTTGTTTTTTTTTTTTTCAATTCAGTTATACTTCTATAGAGAAATAACCAGAACATTGTTTAAAACCCTGCCTACCAATTGGGTTCATTTACCTGCTTGCTTGGCTTCTTCACAAGAACTTCTGTGCTTGTTTTCTAAAGATATAATCTGTTCTGGAAAGCTCCATGGTAAAGGCTATCTTCTCCATGTCTGAGGAAAAAAATCCTGTGTGTATAGAATACTTAGTGCTGAGTCTAAAAAGTGGTTGCCAGGAATTGAGAACACTTAGAGGGTACCACAACTAGAAGGCAAAGATAAAGTGGGGTCTAGTGCATGCTACTTGTTTGAGTGCCCAAGCCCAACTGTGGCCTTGAGTACTCTGCTTAGCTTTTCTAGGTTTTACTTTCTAGATTCATGAAATCAAAATGATATTAATGCCAATTTCATCTAAATGTTGTCTGAATCCAATAAGCTTTGGAAACATCCAGTACTTAATGTACTTAGCATGCTCCTTAACAAATTTAGATGGAGATATAAGAAAACTCTCAGTAAATATTAAATTGCATTATTAACTATGACTTGGGTTGGAAACAGAAAACTATTAATACAAGAAAAGGACACCAGGCACCATGCCTATAATCCTCAGTACTCAGAAAGCTGAGGTCTGAGGATCTCCATTTAAAACCTGTCTAGTCAGAAAAATGACACTTATTTCCAATTAACCACTAAAAAGCTGGAAAGATTACTAACATGAGCTACTGGCACCCAGCAAAACCACTGAGTTTTAAATTACTAAGAGGCATTTTAGTAATTTAGTCAACATCTCATTGACCACAACTCAGTCTGATGGCCTCACCCAGCATAAAGGAGGCTTGGAAATTTATTCTGCTTTAGGCACCTGCCCCAATTAAATTTATTTGCCTTCCCAGGAAGAAGGGAAAGGGGTGACTAGAGGCCTATGGACAATGCCATCCCTAGCACTGCTAGCCTTTATATGGCTGGAAGGTCAGAGAAACCTAAGTCCTACAGGAGAAATAGCCAATAGACAGACAAAGGATGGAGAAGAGTCAGGCAGATTGAGGGGGAACAAACTTGTGTAAGGATAGGCTCCACATAAAGGAAGAAGTTTGGTGAGTTTAGAGAAATGGAGAAAGACCAAGTGGGAAAGTGCAGGTGGTAACAGAAGAGACTAAAAAGTGGGCAGGAGCCTGGCCAGGCAGGGCCTGGAAACCCAGGCAGAGGGATTTAGACATTCAGTGGAGTGGGAGCCTTAGCAGCATTTTAAACAGAGAAGTGACGCAATTTACATTTTGAAAAGGTCATTCTAGCTATTGCAGTGACAGCTGAGCCCGGATCAGGCAAACTAGTTCTGTATCAGCATATGCAAAATCATTCAGAGGGATGCAGGGAAAAAGAGGTGTCACTGTTAACTCCGTAACTGTTCCTTCTTGTTATCTAGAAGGCATGTCTGAGTGATCTTTTTTCTCCTCATTCAGGCAAGTTCCAGTCTGGCTCCTATTATCTGTTTTTATCTATTGGCAATAACACACAACAGTAAATAAACAGTAAATAAAATAGATGGTTGACATGCAGGATCCAACAGACGGAGTCATACCCTTCCTTCTCAGCAAAAATTAGCAGTATGGGCTCTGCTCCCTAGTTCTTCCCATCCCTTTTTACTTCTGGAAATTGAATATGCATTGCACCCACCCAATATAGCCACAGCTGGCCCTTTCATATTTATAGCTAGCTGTCTCTAAAGCTATTGCATCAGGCAGGAAAAAGCAAACTAGGATTAAGGCTTGAAATAGGACTGTAATGTTTCATTCCTTTAACTTTTGATCTTCATTTCCTTGATCCTGAAATGATTGGCGTTCCACGAGCAGCAAAAAGATGGAGATCAACAAGAGCAGCTCAGGTAAGATGGGGGATGCAGGGCACCATGCCAGAGAGCCCTGCTGTGCAGGGACAAGGACCAGCTTCCCTGCAGCACTCGTAGGAAACATCGGGAATGCCATCATTTCATGGCATAGCTGGAACCCCTTTGAGTTCTTTTGTTACCACAATCTGGTACCACATCCTATGTATTTCTTTCCTTGAGATATTTTTTTGTTTGTCTTTTTATGCTGGTCATGGGGCCTAAACTCAGGGTCTGGGAGCTATCCTTGAACCTTTTTTCTCAAGGCTTTACCACTTGAGCTACTGCACCACTTCCTGCTTTTTGTTAGTTAATTGGAGCCAAGAGTCTCATGGATTTTCCTGCTCAGGCTGCCTTTGAACGGACCCTCAGCTCTCAGCCTCCTGCAATCTTCAGCTAGGCACGACCAGGCACAAACCATGGGAGCCCAGCTGAAATGTTTTTATATTCTTCATTTCAACTCCCCAGACCTGACTCAAGCCCAGCTTTTTTTTCCCCTAAAGCCTACAAGTTATGTACCAAGAGGCTTTGTTAAGTGCCAATCACCGTGCAGGTTTGGGCGTTACCATGTGGAAAGATGCTGTGCCCCTTCAAGGGAATTATGTGGTAGAATCACAGGGGCAAATATCAAAATGATTTTTTAAAAAACACATCTTTCCTTCTACAACATTCAAAGCTCATACCTGGGAGGCTGGGTATCTGAGCAGTCATAGAAGGTGATGTTTGTGTGAACTGGTTGAACACATATGGCATCTGTCTGATGGAGTATGACAGAATTAGCAGCTGGTTCCCTATACCCAGGTTTTAGTCTATCACACGTCTGGCATACATAGGCCTGGAAAACTTCCCCATCATTCACCTTCACCAGATCTGACTCATCATCTTCAACCCTAACCTGCTCCAATCAAACCTCCCCTAGCTTGCTAGTACCTCATCTCTGTTCACTAGATTCCACCAGGATCCGCTCTAAACCCTTTATCCTAAACCCTATACTTCATTCTTGCCCGTCCAGACTTATCCCATTCCTTGTAATCTAGTTAATTCTCTACTTCTTTTATAGGCTTAAGGCTTCCATCTGTAAGTTTGACTGAATCCTGTGCCTCTGAATTATCCATAGAAGCAGGCCAGGTCTGGGGACACAATGGAAGTTCAATAAATATCAATATACCAGACCATTAGTAAATTAGATATCCAGATTAGCTTAGAAGACAGCCAGAACATCATGTTATATTTAGAAATTTAGATGTTATACATCCTAGGGTATCATCCAAAAATGCTAGAAATAAAGGCACAGATATATAAAAATGATTATAACTGTGTCCTAAACTCTATGATAATTAAAACAACTCTTGGCATCTGACCTTTAGTTTTAGCATCGAGGAGACAATAAGGAGCAGTGGGGACAGTGGCAACAAGAAAATGAAGGTTGCAATTGAGGCTTCCATGAATTACTGCTGTTTGGAATACACACAGGCCTGGGATATCTGATACCTTGATTTTTAGAGAGGAACCAAAAATGTGAATTTTTAAAATAGTATATTCTTCTGTTCCATTAAACAAAATGAATCACAGAATAGACTAAAACTTAGTGTGCAAACAAGATGTAATAGAGACCAAATTCGGCCTGGAGGTTGTCATTCTGCTCATAACCCTTGTCCTAAGTAGACACTGAGCAGAGCCACACTTACAGACTGACTGCTGCTTGTGTTCTGTGACCTATCGCACAATGGACTCATTTTTTGTTTTTACACATATATTCAAACATATTCACATGTACATACCCCAAATCCATGCTATGAAGTTAGAATTGAGGAACAGAAATAGAAAATGTTCTGGATTTCTGGAACTGAGGAAAATAGCTAGGATTTCAGGATACCTGGCATTGTGGAAAATTCTGTCTAAGATGTTCTTTAGGCTGATTTCTATCCCACCACAATACTGGACTTTGAACTTGAGTCAAAGTCCCCAGCCCTTTTTGCTTTAGTTTATTTTTTGGATAGAAGGCTGTTTACCACTCTCTGATCACAATTTTCTTATTTATAGCCTCTTTGGTAGCTGGGATTGCAGGTGTACACCTCTATGCCCATCTTGGTTTTGTTTTGTTTTGTTGCTGAATGGTGTCTTGCTTTTTGCTTGGGCTGGCCTTGGACCACAATCTTCCTGCTTTCTGCCTCCCCAATAGTTATGATTATAGGCATGAGCCACCATACCCAGTCAAATCCTCCTATCTTCAATTAACCAGGAAAAAAACTGGAAATGCAAGAGGTAGAGTGCCAGCTTGGAGCAAAAAAGCCAAGCAAGGGCACAAGGTTCTGAATTCAAGACTCAGGACTGGCACACATAAAAAAATGTAGATTCGAATTAATTAGGGCTGAGGAGTGTTGCGTGGGATAGTGAATTTCTAACACGCTCCCAGGTGATACCAAGGTTTCAGGTCTACTTGGAATTGCCAGGGCCAAGATGATAACAATAGGCTCTGGTTTGGATCTTCTGAGTTCAGAGCCATTTCCAGTTCTGCTGGTCAAATCTCCTGGGAAAAATTATTCAGTTAACCTGTCCCAACCATGGTGGTTCTCTCCTTTTGCTGGGGCTGCTTTGTTCATATGCTGTAATAAGGACATGGGCTGTTTGACTCTGAATATTGATTCTGCTTCCTCATAGTATTGACCATTAGTAAGTCAATCAACCTCTCTAAGCATCAGAGATCTCCATAAATGGGGATTATGGCAGTGCTGCCTTCACAGAGACGTCATGAGGAAAAAAATAAAAGAGCAGAATGTGTGTGTACTATCTGGGCACTTGTAATCCCAGCTTCTCAAGAGGCTGAGATCTAAGGATTGCAGTTTGAAGCCGGTCATGCAGGGAAATCCTTGAGACTCTTAGCCACCAAAAGAAGCTGGAAGTAGAGGTATGGCTCAAGTAGTAGAGTGCTAGCCATGAGTGAAAAAGCTAAGAAACAACACCCAGGCTCTGAGTTCAAGCCCTAGCGCATGCATGTGCGCACACACACACACACACACACACACACAAATTGTGTGTACTTGTCCAAAACAGCCAGAAAAGCATCCTTTGCCTCTTGTGCTATAAGCATCCTGTGAACCAGACTCTAAAAACAAAAATGCATTCTTTTTTTTTCCTTTTCTTTTCCAGAAAGCGATAATCCCTGTGAAGACTGTATCCCTTGTACCCGGGACCTCAGTTGGAGGGACTCATTCACTTTTGGAGAGTGGGAAAGAGAGAACCCTTCTGGGCTACAGCCCCTCTCGCTCCTCAGCACTTTGGCTGCCTGCACTGGGCCACAGCTGGCCCCACTCATAGGTAAGGCCACAGGATTGATGTGGGCACCACCATGGGACAACCTCAGGGCTAGGATCAGATCCTGAGGTCCTGAAGGTGATTCCAGAATGTCATGGGATGGGGAAGGGAGATCCTGGCTGCAGTGACCTCAACCTTCTTTTCTCCTGTCCTGTTCTTTTTTTTTTTGCCTCCAACCGTGCAGAGTGGAACCCTGCAGTGTGGCATCTCCAGAGCGCCGAGAGTTCCTGCTAGTGGTTCTAAAGGGACAGGCACTACTAGAATGAAGCGCTTGCAGAAAGAGCTCTTCCTTTTCTTGCTGTGCGGAGGCCTGAGGCCTTCTTCTGGGGAGCTTCTGTGGGCCCTTTTCACTCTCTTCTCCCTCCCTAGAACTTTTTTTTTTTTGGTCAGTCGTGGGGCTTGAACTCTGGGCCTGGGCTCTGTCCTTCAGCTCTTCAGCTCAAGGCGAGCGCTCTACCACTTGAGCTACAGCGCCACTTCCGGTTTTCTGGTGGTTTATTGGAGATAGGAG